GCACCAAGGCAATATATAGGTTTTGTGAGGGGTTTAGGATGTTGGTGGTTTACAAGTTTAGTACATCTGAAAAGGCTGGCAAGTGAAGACGAGGATTGTGGAAGGCTTGGAAGGTTTTCTGGTGCTGCAGAAACCGTGGGTCATGTGGATGAACCTTGGCAGTGGCAACCTTGGCGGAGGCTGGAATGAACAGGGCCTCTGGAGCAGCCAGCGATGAGCGGTCCTGAGGAGAGCAGGCTCCTGGACTGGACAGCTAGAAATGGCCTGGGAAGTGAAGAAGACACCAGCAGTGGAGCTAACGGGGCATTCTGGGGATCAGCTGTTTGGCTGCAGCTGCAGCTTGCTTGGAGGCGCTGTTGATCTGCTGTTAGGCGCTGGGTTGATCAGCGCTGGTGGTGATGATTTAAATGATTTGCGGGGAGGGGCAATTTAATAGTGGGGAAATATTATTGCCCCTTAACTGAAATGTTCTTGAGATGGAGAATGAAATCAAGGAAATTGCTGAAGGAGAAGAGTTGTAGTCAGTTAAAATATCATATACTGTTGGTCGTGTGAAAGAGGTAACAACTTTAGAATCATTGGTCACGGAACCAGTTAAAGGGGATGAGGATCACCCAGTGAAGCTGAGAGAAGTCAGGACTGTAGTGCAGAGTGCCGTGTAAAGCGAGTTAGAGGGGAGTCTTGTGGCTTCTCTTTAGCAGCATTTCCTTACCTACTCTAGAAACAGGATGCTGAGCCAGATGGGGCTTTTGGTCTGATCTGACAGGGCAGCCTCATAGTGATCTTGGGATGGCCTTCCTGTAGCCAAGATGAGGTAATTGCCAAGTGAATGGAAGCTTCTTCATGCTACATTTAATTTATGGACTTTTCAGCCAGGAGAAGATCAGTTTTGAAACATTGGAACAGTAGAGGATAAAAACTAAGTGAGAGATCTGCAAAGTCTGCTGTTGAATAATGGTTGCTACCAACTTTGTGCTGTATTGCAAGCAGTTTCTGGTGGTAAAAGAATTTGGCACTCTGGTAAGTAATGAGAAGACTGCTAGTTTAGAACTCTTCTGTTTGTTTGTATCAGACATGTATTTTTCAGTTTACAATTTCTGGGACACAAACACATGGTCAAAATGGAGGCTAAAAGCCATCACAGCAAGCAAAGTAAATATGCACCAGAAATTGTCAGTTTCTTCAGCCTGAAGAAACTCATGGACTAGGAGAGACCAGGCTTCGACATAAGGATGAGATGTGAATTAGATTTTTTTCCAGCGAACATTTGTGTGCCCTCTTCCAGCTTTGGTTTTGCCTTAGATGGATTTTGTTCTTCAGCCCTACTTGATTTAGGCTGCCATGTTTAGCTGTGCCAATCAAGACAAGAGTAGCCAGCTTTCTTCAATAATATGACCCTTTCTCTCTGTTTTGCATTTTAACTGCAGCAGCAGCTGCTGGGTTTCCCAGCAAGCTTGTATGTACTTTGTACTTCAATAATCCAGTTTCAAATAATAAGAAACACTAATGTCTGTGAGTTGATTGAGTTATGTGCCATATTTCCACATAGGAACAGACGAGTGGGTTGCCTGTTGGCATCACCCATCTCTTCTGCTGTTTATTACAGGCCCTTCTACTGCAGCTGCCTCCTGTTTGTTTGTCCCACTGAGGATTTGCCACATCAGAAATCCCACTAGAATCAGTGTAAGAGGTGCAGAAGGCCCTTTGTTTCTCCCCTACAGCCCTTCTGCATCCAGCCTTTCTCTTTACCCTTCATCCTTTGGGGGAGATGGGCTGCATACAAATTTAATCATAAATCAATAAATCAATAAATAAAATAAATGAAATCCTTCTCTGTTCCAGCAGGCCTGGGATGCAGGATCAACTAGCTTTAGGGAGGCCTCTGTGGATGATGGCCTGTTTTCATGTGCTTTTCTAGGCCTAGGTTAGGTTATTGAGTCCAGTGGGGGCACAGAAAACTCGTATTTTCCTCTTTGTGCTTTTAACTTTTGCTTAACATCAGCAGGAAGATGACACTGGAAAGTGAAGTGAAGCCTTGATCTTTGGGTTCACTATGCAGAAGCACCTTAACACCCATATTCTCCTTCCGCTAATGATGGTCCTCTGCCCTCTAAGTATAATAACTACACCCATTTTTAAATATCACTGTCCGTGGTGCCTTGCCTGGCTTGCAAGGAACAATTTCCCTGTCCACCAGTGGCTAGAGTGCTTTGTAGAAATGCTGGCTCAGAAGTAGACAAGGCTTCTTTCTTTTGAAGCAGAAATTGGTAAGATCAGTTTTCTGCACATTAGGACATAATGTTAAATAGTACAATTGGCTATTAGCAATCTAACCAAAGGGGGCTATATCTCACTTTCTGGGTTGGAGTTTCCATTCAGGGATACAAGAGTGAGATGCCTTTTATGTTCCTGTAATTGGCAAATACCAGTTCCATTCCCTCAAACAAAGCAAGCTAGCTCTACTTAACAACAAGGAAACATGATGGAATTAATTGGTAGGAAAGTACAGGTAGTCCCCAGTTTAAGAATGAGTTCTGTTCCCCAGGTCTGTCCTAAATTGAATTTGTATGTAAGCTGGAACAATATTATTGTATAATACTGTATTATTGTGTAATGAACTCGAACCATTGTGTATTTAACTCGAATTTTGCTACAGTAGGCTCCATTCTTAACTATGGGTCATCTGTAACCTGGGCGTTATTAACCTGGGGACTACCTGTACTGTTAATAATGTGGCAGTCCATCTCGGCTTGCCACATGTGGCCCTTAAAGTTCAAATCAGACAGCAAGACAATTTATCAAAGAATAAAAAGTAACTTCATGGCAGATCTAGGGATTCTACCTCATAAATGTGCTCTGAACATTCTTGACATCTTGCGGCAGACTAACACAAAATTCTGACCTACATACATAAGTTATTTTTCCTAGGTTTTATATAATATTTCTTGCCTTTTTTTGGAAGAAGATGGGTTGCATTTTTGTTTGTTTGTTTGTTCACAAGCTGTCTGTTGCTCCCTGAATCTTCCTCCTATTTTAGAGCGGTTAAGATCATAACAAGACCTCTCCTAGGTCAGACCAAAGGCCCATTTAATCCAGAATTTCTTTCTAAATACTTTTGAAAATTCCACATGCAAGACATAAGCATAACCCTACCTGGCACCCCGCTAGCTCATGGTTTCCAATGAGACAATGGAGGGAAAACTTCGTTAGTCACCATATCCTTCCTGAATTCCTCTAATTTTCTTAAAAGACTGGGCTTTATTTTTGGATGCTATCCACTTATGTTATTTTTTTTTCTGTTATGCAGATCAACTTTGCTCCTATAGGTTGGGAGTCAATCAGGCTGAGTGCCATGTTGGAATATGTTTGTCTCCTCATCAGTCTTAAACTCAAGTTGCACCTCTTTTAAGGAGGACTTTGGGGAAATATAATTCTAGTTCTTGGTAGAGTGTGCAGTTGCTCTTTGAAAAACATGCTTGTCAGAGAGTTGTTGTCTAAAGATCTTAAGTTGTTGCTGGAAGATCTTACCTTGATGTCAAGTGGTACAACAGAACAAGCATCCTATCATGTAATGGAGTGGATATTGCATTAAGAGTGCAGCAGATAACTCTTTTAGCTGAAATTGTTGGACTGCCCATCTCTGCCCAGAAACGGTGGTGCTGAAGCAGTAAACAGAGTTACTGTATTGGTGTGATGTGCCTTTAAAGGAAGCAGGGGCAATGTCTAACAGTTTCTGGAATAAGATACTGTAAGGACCCTGAATAGCTTCAAAAGGTTAATGCAGTTGAGTAGGAATATGGGAAAGTTATTTAAAATGGAACATTGCCTGTAGAAGTGTAATTCTCACAGGAGCACATTGATCAGATCTATCCTGAATACATCTTTTTAAGTGCATCCACAGTCAAGGGCATAACATTAGAGTAGGCAAAATCGCAAGAATAATGTTGTCATTAATTATTGATACAGCATAAGATAAGGTAGATTGTGTTGAAATCTTAAGTCTCTGTGACTTCCTATCTGAAACCGTTACAGTTTTCATCTTTCTCTAATTTCTGGTATTTTGCAAAGCTGAAACACCTGTATTGAAAGGAAATCTCGCTTTTCCAGTGCCCATTTTCCAAAACACCATTGGCCTGAATGGAAAGTAGGGTATAAATCAAAGAAACAAACAAATATATAAGTGTGAAACATAACCTGATTAATGCAGTTAGATAAATTGTGATGCGCTTGATATCCTGGTTAATCCTTTAATATACCTTAAATATTGATTATGTACCCTCAAGTTGTTGTCAGCTCTTAGCGACCACATACTGTAGACAGGTTTTCTCCACAATGATCTGTTCCTGGCCTGGTCCTTCAGCTCGTTCAATGGCGCCTCCAGCGCCTCTGTCACTGAGTCCTTCCCCCGGCTGCTGGTCGTCGTCTTCTCTTTCCACCTTTCCCAGCATTGGAGCCTTCTCTGGAGAGCCAGGCCTTAAATATACTGTGTATAAATATACTGGCTTTCCTGAGAGAGCCCTGCTTGCTGTTCCTGACCTGAAGGAGAGGGTCTTCTCTGTTAGGGCGCGGTAAGGTCCTTCTATATGGAATGGTCTGCTTTTTATCATTCATTCATTCTTTCATTCTTTCATTCAATTTATATAGCCTAGAGATTTATATGATTGTGGTGAGCTGCCTAGAGTTGTGGTATATGGGATGAGCAGCCATATAAGCCTTTTAAATAAATAATTTTCTTTTCTTGAGATGGTCGGTATTGTCAAGGTATTTTTGTTTTGGCTGCTATTTGGCCTATTTGGCTGACTAATTTTAATAGTCTGATCTCCATATTTTAAGATGTTTTATTTCTTTAGTTACTGTTTCTTAAAGTTTTTGATTGTGGTTTGTTTTTCATGGATCCTTTTACTAGACTCCCAGGCAAATGTTGTTTTCCATTAACTCTTCACTTTTAAAACATGTGTGATTCAAATTAATGTGTATGGATTTGTCCACTTCTCTTTTAGGTGCCCGATATATCTTACCATGGAAAAGCTGACCTTCTGTCTTCTGGTTATGAGCACTGCTGTGAGGGCCATGAGATGTCCCATGCGCTGCATGTGTCAGAGCCTGTCCCCATCTTTCACCATTCTCTGTGCAAAAAACGGGCTGCTCTTTGTACCTCCTGCCATTGACCGACAAACTGCAGAACTCCGGCTGATGGACAATTTCATCACAACTTTGCGAAGGAAGGATTTTGCAAACATGACAGACCTGATCCATTTAACACTGTCACGAAATACAATCAGTCATATTATGCCTTATGCATTTTTTGATCTTAAAGGCCTTCATGCATTACATTTGGATAGTAACCGACTCACCTATATTGATGAGGATCACTTCAAAGGGTTGATCAACCTTCGCCACTTAATTCTCAGTAACAACCAATTACATTATATTTCACCTGGATCTTTTGATGATTTCATTGACATGATTGAGGATCTGGATCTATCATATAATAATCTTGTTAATGTCCCCTGGGAAACTATTGGGAGGCTTTCAAATGCCAATACTATTAGTTTGGATCATAACCTCATAGATTTTGTTCCTGAAGGAATCTTCTCCAATCTTCACAAACTGGCTCGGCTAGACATGACTTCTAACCAGTTGAAGAAGATCCCTCCAGATCCTCTTTTCTCCCGCATCCCTGTCTATGCCAAGCCCAAGGGTACCCCTCTGTCTTCTCTGGTATTGAGCTTTGGAGGGAACCCGCTACACTGCAACTGTGAGCTGGTGTGGCTGAGGCGTTTGACTAGGGAAGATGACCTGGAGACATGTGCCTCCCCACCAGAGCTGATGGGCAAGTATTTCTGGTCCATCAAGGAGGAGGAATTTGTCTGCGAGCCTCCAATGATTACTCACAGAACTGCAAAGCAAGTGATCATGGAAGGACAGAGTGTTTCCTTGAAGTGTAGAGCAGTGGGTGATCCAGAGCCATATGTGCGCTGGATTTCACCTGGAGGAAAACTGGTTTCCAACACTTCTCGAACCATTTCCTATGAGAATGGGACTCTGGACATTTTAGTGACTTCCATGGAGGAACAAGGCACATATACTTGTATAGCATCCAATGCTGCAGGAGAGTCCACTGCACCAATTGAACTTCTGGTCAGCCCATATCCTCATCTTGCTAATAGCACAAACTGTGACAAAGAAGCTGAGACAGGCCCATCAGATATTCTCATCTCAGCCAAGTCTAGCTTCTCCAATGAAACCAAATCTCACCAAGAGAGGAAAGTTGCTGTTGCTGAGTTGACCTCATCCTCTGCTCTCATCCAGTGGCCTTCACAGCACCATATTCCTGGAATACGAATGTTCCAGATCCAGTACAACAGCTCTGCTGATGATATCCTGGTATACAGGTATACATTTTCATTTCAGAGATTCTATTGCCAAGTTTATTAGTTTATTTCTGAAATGGCAGCAGCAGCGGAAAGCTCAACAACCGGAGGAGTAAATAAAGGCACCAGTGCTTGATGCCTTTGGACTGAATGAGGTGGGAGGGTTAGCATGAAAAGAAAAGTGTCTCTCATTCAAAAGGGAAAGTCCAGTCCAGGGTTATCAGTTCATAACATTCCTTCTAAATTTGAACTTCATCTTGATGAGAATTGTATTAAAAACAGGATAATCAATTGACTTTTATTTTTGTGACTGCCTGGACAAGTCCCTACAGTTTTCTTGGCGAGATTTTTGGAAGTGGTTTGCCATTGCCTGCTTCCTAGGGCTGAGAGAGAGTGACTGGCCAAGGTCACCCAACTGGCATCATGTCTAAGGCAGGACTACAACTCACGGTCTCCTGGCTTCTAGCCTAATGCCTTTGTTTTATTTATATGTAAAGTAGTGCAGAGATAGCGTACTCCAGGAACCTGAGCAGAATCAGGGCCACTGTGGTAGGCAAGAGGAAAATTCAGCTCTTGAATAACCTTAGTGAAAATCTCTCAACAGTGACTGCTATCTGTAACTGGTTGGAAAATGCCTCCTGGGCCTAATAGTAGCTGGGATAGAGCCCCTCCCTCCCTCCCTCCCTCCCTTGGGGTGAGGAGTATAATGTTTATAAGATCAGTGAACTAGAGGAGGGTTAATCTCCCCAATTTGCCACAGTCCTAATTCTGCTCACCATGACATGTGAAATATGGCCTTGGGTTAATTTCATGTCTAGCTTGATCAATTAATTTCATGTAAACCTTTATGTCAGGCCTCTGTATAATGCAAAAAATGATTTAAAAATGTATATTCAGACTAAACTCTTGCTTTGGCAAAGTAAGAATAAGAATGCATCATCAACTCTGAAGCAGTTAAAAAACAAAGCCCTGGCTGTTGATATTACAGAAAACTTCATAAAAAATAGGTTTAGTGATATTATCAAGAAACCTTTGGTTATTGGGCAATGTAAAAACATTTCTGTATGTATGCATTTATTTCAGTTTATATGGCCACCCATCTCATTATGTTTATACCCAAGAAACAATAATACAAACTTGTGAAGTTCCTTCCATAGCGCCATCATACCCTGTTCCTGCAAAGGGGCATATACCTTGCAGAAGTTAGGCAAAAAATTAGGAGGAGTCTGGTAGCTCCTTTTCCTACTAACAAATGAGACTAAAAGGCAGAAGCTTTCATAAACTGCAGTTTACCTGAAGAGCCATGGCTCGTGAAGGTTTCTGCCTTTTAGTAAAATGTGCTACTGTAATCAGAAGAGGTGCTACCAGACCCCTTCTCATTTCAGCAGGCTCCAAGTCATTTGCATTTGGACAAAAGAGGTTCAGGTCCATCCCTTTGGAGACTTAGGCTGATCTCTGAAGCTTGAAGGTGCCCCTGTTGCCATAAAAGCAATTTCCTGCTACAGAGTTGACCAGGTGACAACTGATGCTTCTCAGGCATAGACTCAACTTTGGTTTTATACTTGCAAGGAGGTTGATAAATAGAGGCCAGCCAAAGTAGCTGTCTGTCTACGCTAAATTGCATTGCTCTGTACCCTTTTGAATTCTGCATCCTTACAGCATTCCCTCTCAGGGTTCTTCTCTATTCACCAGGCAAGTAACTGGTAGTTGCCATTCGACTTCCTGACATAAGTGTCTGTGGGGAAGCGGGGGGCAAGTACATTGTGACGTCACAACACAAATTGCACTCCATATATGCTTGTGTGCAACATTGTGATGCCAGTACAAAAAGGCAGAAGGCATCATGAGGTCATAACACAGTTTACCATTTTAACATCATCGTGGTAGCAAATGACCCAGGCAGCTGATGGCTATTCTGTACATCCTTTTAGCCTTTAGAAAGACAAGGGAGTGAAGAGAGATGATGCTCTGTGGTTCTCTTGCTGTAGACTGAGTTTGTCTTCTCTTGCAGGATGATTCCAGCTGCCAGCAAGTCTTTCTTCCTGACCGACCTGGTTGCTGGGCGCGACTATGACCTATGTGTCCTCGCTGTTTATGATGATGGCGTGACTTCTCTGACAGCAACCCTAGTGGTGGGGTGTGTGCAATTCACCACAGAGGAGGCATACCGGCAGTGTCAGTCCCTCCATGCCCAGTTTCTTGGTGGAACTATGATTATCATCATTGGAGGCATCATTGTGGCTTCCGTCCTTGTTTTTATCTTCATCCTACTGCTGAAATACAAAGTTTACATCAACCATCACAAAACCAAAAACACTGAAGTGAATAACGTTTGCTCCCAAACCAATGGTAGTCAAAGTAACTCTGTGGCACATTCCAGTTCTAAACTGGCTGAATGGCTCCAGCAAGAATGTTCAAGCTTGCCTCTTAGAGGCAAAACTATATTAGATTTTGAGTATGAACAAGCAGCCCCTACAGAAGTGTCTGTTTTAAGAAGCGAAGCCTTCCCTTAGTAGTCATACTGAGCCCAGGCAAGAAGTACTAAATAATAACTCATGTGGTTGTATTTTAAGCTTCACTACTATTGTCTATTTTTAAGATGAGATGATTTTAAACACTATTTTTTTAATCTGTAAAAGTTCTTGCATTCTTAACTATTTTTGTTGCACTATATTAAATATAAACTCTGTGATTTGGAAGGTTTTTATGTAAGAATCTACTCGCAACCAAGTCTGGATCAGTGCTTACAAAAACTCCGTATAGTGCAAGTTACTTACCACTAAGCAGATGCACTCCCCTTCAGCACCATAGGCTTTACTTCCACAATAGCATGCTGGTGAGGAAGTCCATTTAAAGGAAAAGTGCTAAAAAGTGTCAGGTGAACTGCCAGAATTCAAGGAACAGAAAGGTTTAGGGAAGACTGGTACAGGTGGCCCTCAGTTAATGACCACTCATTCAGTGACTGTTCAAAGTTGTGAGGTGCTGAACGAATGGTATTTACAATCAGTCCTCAAAGTTCCAGCCGTTGCTGCACCCCTGCAGTCACATGATCGTGATCCGGGTGCTTGGCAACTGGCTTGCACTTATAATGGTTGCAGTGTCCTGCAGTCATGTGATTGCCATTTGTGACCTTCCCTGCCAGCTTTCCACAAGCGAAGTCAATGGGGAGGCTGGCAGGGAAGATCGCAAGTTGCTTTGGTAAGTTGCTCCCGTTGCTTTTTCTCCCAAGGAGCCCAGTATGGAGTACGAGATCCCAGGGAACTCACACTCCATGGTGCATGCATGCCCTGCAGCACCTGCACTCCGTAATGCCTGCCTGCCTGGCTGCCCTTGCACAATGCCGCAGCACCCCTTCCCCGCCCAGCCGCATTCCATACCATGCTGGCCTGCCTGCGCTCCCCAGCACCCACTCGTGGCTCTCTCACGGCCGCTTGCACTTGCATGGCGCCGCAGCAACCCCCTGCCTGGCTGCGTTCCATGGCACTTACCCACCCACTGGCGAGCTGCCTGGGAGTCGCGACCTCCTGCCGGCTTCCCTATTGACTTCGCTTGTTGGAAGCCAGCAAGAAGTCGCAAATCACAGTCATCTGAGGTCCTTGCTTAACGTCCCATGATCCTCACTTAACGATGGCAACAGGGACTGTTGGGGTTACTGTTGCTAAGCAATGAGGCCATTGCGCTTTATGACCACGTTGCTTAGCGATGGAAATTCCAGTACCAGTTACTATTGTTAAGCAAGGACTACCTGTATCTTCTTTTGATGAATGCCAGATACCAGCTTCATTACAAATGACAAAGGGATAGGGTTAGTCCCTAACCCTGGGTCCCTTTTAGGGCAAGGCAGAGAAAACCTAAAAGAGTTCCTGTGCATAGAGAGTCTTTTTCTGCTAAACAAGCTCCAGTCATTATTGGTGCAAATCTTTGAGCAGTAGGCTTACTGGCATATTAGTCATTGGAATGACTTTCTGACACATTTTAACCATAATTTGGAGAGAGATTCAGAAAGATGTTGGCATTGTGGGTAGTTTTTTAAACTAACTTCTAGTATATCTAGGTTTCTTCTGTTTGTATTATGGTTTACTATTTCAGGAACTGTGTTTACTGAACACATTAAAAAGGAGACGAAACAGATGAGAGTAGTGACCAGAAGTAAGATACTCTGTCCGAATGGAACTCAGAAAAATGTTTCCAGCCCTTGTAGGCAAAATAGGCTCTGAATGTTCAGTAGAAGGAAAAGAAACTGCAGAGCAGGAGACAGGATGATAGATCTCTAATTGGCAAAGAGGATGCGTACAGTGCCTTATAATAAAACAAAAAGAAGAGCCATGGGGGATTCATTTCTATGAAGTACCAAAACAAACACATGGTTCAGACCTATTGGTCTCATGAAATATGTTGAGTGCTTCTCCCAGTACACATACGGCAGCTGCTGGTCCATGAAGGGCTCCAGTGTGCCAACCGGCTGGGCCAGGTAGCCCGGCAGCCATTCTTCCACCATCTGCTGGTGATACACCTCCCACCATGGCCCTAAGATCATGCATTCCACTGCCTCTGCACACAGTTTGGCCTGCATCGTGTGGTGGCGTGCAGCCATGGTGAACGCCCACCCCACCGGCCGCCCCCCTCCCCTGCCAGCCAGCCCCCCTCCCAGTAAGACAGGAAGAAGTGTGTGGCCAGGATGGCATAGTGCTGCAGGAGGGCCAGCAGCTCACCCAAAAAGGATGGCAGGCAGCCAAAAAGAGCACCACCCACAGCGGTGGTGAGAGCGTCTGAGGCACCTTGGACCCCCCACCTGGCAAGGCGCCTGGGCCCAGTGGCGGAAGCAGGAGGGACACGCCCCTCAAGTACTGTGCTAGGAAGTACCCCCACAGCATGAGGTCCAGCACCGGGAGTGTGAGGCTGCTCTCATGCATCGGCAGGTAGGCAATGGCTTGCACCAATGGAAAGATGGCTGTACCCCACAGAAAACCAAACCACCCCCAGGTAGCTCACTGCAGGACGGCCTCTGTCAGGGGGTAGACCACTTCCAGGAGTGCCACTTGCAGGAGAAGGTAGGCCTGGAGGTAGATGACTCACTGGTAGAGTGGGAACTGTCACCGCCGCTAGCACGCCCACCGCGCCTCCCAGCGTGCCGTGCAATGGTCCCAATTGTCCCCCCATGCATTCGGGTGGAGGCCGAAGCAGATGTCCAGGACATGGACCGTCCATGGGGCAGGGCGGGGGGACCCCAGCCGATCTGTGGCAGTACCTCTACTCCCATGCCTGCACCCCTCTTGGGCTCCTCCTCCTCCTCCCCTTGCCCCACCACTCCTCAACTGGCCAACGGTGCAGCCCGCTGTCACCATCCCCCCCGCCCTCCTCTCGTGAGTTCCACGACCCAGCTCTTGTGGTCATTCACCTGCGCCCCTGAGATGGCCTCGGAGTCCCAGAGGACCTCCCGTGACCCCCTCAACCAAGCCAGGAGGCCGGGGGGGAAGGCGCCTGACTGGACCACCACTGGGCCCTTAGGAGACAAGGCCCCCGGCGAGGTGGCCACAGCCATAGCTGGCCCCTTTGGACTGTCCCTGTCAGCCAGCGCCAGCTGCAAAGCCGGACGCCGCTCATCGAAATGGTCGTACCGAGAGACCTGCAGATGGCTCCCCTCTGACAGCGTGTCTGAGGAGACTGCTGCTGCTGTAGTGGCCTGCAGCGAGCAGGCCGCAGCTGAGAACTGGTGCACCGCAGAACGGGAAGCTGCACCCCCACGCTGCTGGCGTCACTGCTGAGGGAGCAAGGAGCCCCTGTCCGAAGCGAGCAGCCTGCCGTGCACTGGACCAGGTGTAGACATGGCCCCCTCATTCCCCCCACACAGCCAGCTGAAGCAGCTCTGCAGTGCCACCACCACCTCGTCCAGCCAGGCCATGTAGTCGCCCGCCAAAAGTGCTGTCGAGTCGTCTCCTTCCCGATCTGCAACTGGGACAGCAGCTCCCGGGCTAGCCCGCCACGCCTGGTGGAAGGCCTGGAAGATGCGTAAGAAAGTCTTCTCCATCAACCAGGAGGGCAAGTAGGTTGCCCCCCGTGGCTTCTGGGCCCCCAACAGCCCCTCCACCACTGCCGAGAGTGAGCGGGCCACTGCCACACGCTCAAACTGGGGACCCGGGGCCGGCAGTCTGCTGTGGAGCACCTCTAAGAAAGGCTCGAGCTCCCACTCCAGCACCAGCCAGAAGCGCTTCTAGCATACTGTGATAGCCCTGGGACCCACACTTTGGGGAGATGCAAGTGGGCCATGACCAGCCCCCAGAAGTGGAGGAGGACCACTGCCTTATCCCCTGTGGAGGACAAGTACTGGGCAGGGAGGACGCTCAGGGGGGCGGTGCGATCCAGCGCCCACCCCGTGCGGATCGTGGCCTCCCGCAAAGGTTAGGGTTAGGGTTAGGGTTAGGTCAACACACCATTTTTTAGGTCAACACACCATTTTTTATTGGAAAATATGACCATTCTACAAAGAGGGGACACCAAATGGCAAAACCCCACAAACTAAAATGCAGCACATACACAAATTACAATTACAAAAAAAAACAGCAAAAAGAAAAACAAAAAATGGGGGTACCCGAAGGCAAACCCCACACAGTACATGACAAGAAAAAGACATGAAATACATGAACAAAAATACAAATACTAATACTAATCCACAAAAAAACCAAGAAGAGAAAAGAAGAGAAGCGGGGCATGCAAAAGCAAAGCCCGACGAACAAAAAAAAACCCAAACGCAAACAAATCCAGTTAGGGTTAGGGTTAGGGTTAGGGTTAGGGTCAGGGTCAGGGTCAGGGTCAGGGTCAGGG